GGTGTTGAAAGCTCTAAGTCTTTGGGCTAATTTTATTTTTTGTCCTGTGCATTGGTGCTTAAAGAATCTCTGTAATAATCATTTCTAGTTTACCATTAAATGTATCGCTCTTCTGAGATTAAAAAGCAGCTTTTCGATGCATGACACGAGGGAGAGGATTCTTACAAGTCAACATCATGTATTCTGATAAATTAGCTATAACTTTAAACAAGTGAGTAACATAAATGCAAAGGATGTAAACAGTTAAGACCGGGACATTTTAGAGGTACTAAAAGAGAGAACTTTGTTCTTGATGGAGGGCGTAAGGCCTTTGAGACGCTATCCCACATGAAGGGTGCAACAAAAAAATGCAAGTTGTTGTTTTGGAACATTTGCAAAACAGATTTTATTGAAATCTTCTGGACCTTAAGCTGGATTCCCAATGTCTGCCATGTAATATGTTCCAGAGGTGCACAATGTGGGGGGTCATTGCCTTAAACTCAGAATGAAAATGGTGAATAGGCACTGCAGATTGTAGAATTGTTTGCTCATGGAGGCGGATAGTGAGCGGTTACAAAAGGAAAATTAATACATGATTAATTACGAAGGAAATGGGGATATGTGAGATGAAGAGGGATAGTATTTTAAAGTCAGACAGGACTGTTGTGATCTTTTTCAGTTTTGTGCATATTTGCATGTTCCTGTGAAAGGATAATGCTTTGGATAATTTGATCGCTCAGTGAGTAAATGCACTATATGTGTGGTATGGTATTGAGGCATACAAATCAGGAAGGTTCCAGGTTGCATCCTTAATTTTTTTTATTGTGGCTGATGCTCATTCATGAAGAACAGCTGTTCATTGTCCAACAAATTATATTCCATCCTGAGCCCTTCATTTGTTTGGGTGAGGAATGGGATCGTCCTGAGTGGAGAGAAAAGAAGTGGAGACGAAGCCTGACAATAGGGCTTCGCTCATGCTGATTTATAGTATTAATTAAACAAAACTCCAAATACTACAGATGCTGGAAATCTGAAAACACAAACAGAAGTCGCTGAGAACACTCAGCAGGTCAGGCAGCATCTATGGAGAAAGGAAAGTGAGTCAACGTTTCGGGTTCACGACCCTTCGTCAGAACTGGTATTAATAGTTGGCTTTAGGTCCACCATGAAAAGATTTAAGTATCGCTACATATTAAACTGATAGTTGTTGTATGCAGTTAAGATAGTTTTCTTTCCTAACCTTCCATTTTGGGTCCCACTTCAGCTCCCCAATCCAACCCTTGCCCCTTCTCTTCTGGACATACGTACTGTTTCAAAGCCAAGTGAATGAGCTGGTGAACTTTACTGTTCTCCAGCTGGCCTTTGGAAGACCAGCCTTGATCGGTTTTGCCTTCTCTGCCTGTGGGGACATTTTCCACATTGCTGCCATTGCCAAAACCACACGTATATTGTGTAGGCCATGGTAGTTTGAAACTTGAATCGGTTTCCTGTTGGTCCAGTTCTATGCATGTTACAGCACGATTATAGGTGGTGCTATCATGAAGCATATAGAGTGTTGCATGAAAACGCATCCCATCCCGACATGGATGAGTACTTGCTTTATCGTGAGATATATACAGTGGAAGCTTGAAATGGCTTCAAGGAAGGGGATTTTACCCAGCATTTTAATTTTTTATTTTATTTCTTGCATCGATTGCTTATCGGTGAGTCTAAAAATATAAAGGAAACAAAATCGAGGACAAAAGTTAATTTTATAAGAGAATTAATCTGAGTGCACATCGCTTAAAAGAGTATCAGCTTTGCGTTTCAGGTTTATTCTCCAACTGCCCTGAGTTTTACTGAACCCAATAAATTATAAGATGCCCTACCTGAAATTACTGGCCTGACCAGATAAAACTTCTTCACTTTTATAACATTTTAATTTATAGTTTTTACTGTGGCATTAGCTCAATAATGTGTTTTGCAGTGAAGCAACTGGAGCATTCATCCTCCTATACCCACAAATTGTGTATTTGGGTATTGAAAATGTTACTGCAGGTTTCGGTGGAGTGTACTTGTGCACTTTTCATTCTACTTCTTACCCTTGCCTTATTTTCTAAAATCTACTTGCAATTGAATAAAGTCCATTGATGGTGTCCAAAATGCAAGGGAACAAATTTATTGTGTAAAAACGTTCAGGCATTTTGTATTGGGTTCAGATTACAGGGTGCTGGTCGCTTGCTTAACAATAGAGGTTAACGAAATGTGCAGGCAATATGAAATTAGTTCAGACTTTTTCAGCCTTTTAAGATTTGTAGCACATCTAATTTTTGTAACTGTAATTGAAATATTCACCAAAGGCATGTGAGTGTTCGGTAACACCTAAAAATAAATCCTCCCTATCTCTGCGACCCATTAAAACATTACCAACCTGTCTGCTCGCTCTGCTTGATGGTCACTGGCCTGCTCCATGTCCCCTGCCCGCCACACCATCAGCAGTCCCTTTGTCTTGTCCCCTCCGTGGTCTCCTTCAAGGCCCATCTCAAGAACTTACTCTTTGACCGTGCCTTCAGCCATCCTCGTCTCCCCTTGCCATCCACCCGTCTTGATCCTAGCCCCAGCTCAAGTGCAAACCTTTGACAGCCCAGCGCATTGGGATGTTCTCCCGACATGAGAGGTGCTACATAAATGCAATTTGTTGTTGTATTGTCACTACCTAATGCAATATGAAACATTATCCAACTTCCAAGTTGGTTATTTACAGTTTTATATGCTTTCAGAGACTTAGGTGCTCCCTTGTCATCAGTTGTTCCTTTACACTCTAGTGACCAGCTCTGTAAGGCTTTGCAGTTAATATGACTGTATTACATATCAAATGTTATATTCGAATGTATCACCTTGCATTCCAAACTATTTCCATTAGTTGAAGCTATTACTCACTTTTCCAAATTCAAATGTTAATCTCTCAGTTGATCTTATTTTTGAGATCCTAACAGGAGTGAAGGACTTGCTTCTGTTCGTCCTCTAGACTGGAGTGTGCAGTAATTGCATTGCAGTCCATTCTTGAATTCTGTTCTTAAAAGCATATTTGCTTGAACAGTGCAAAGATTACGCTCGCAAAATATGCAATCAATTTAGTTTTCAGTATATTTGAAGCACATTGAGACGTTTCAAATACATAATAAGGCACTATATCAAATGCAAGTATTATTAATATAATGTTCAGTAAAATGCTTGCAAAGATTCTTAGGTAGGTGCACTTTGTTTCATTCTGATGAGGACAATAATAAATGCCCATTACATCTCAATATTGTTTCAAAATATGCAAATACTTTTGTGAAAGATATTCTCCATTGTGCCATCTGTCACCAGGATGCTTCCAGCTTTGTGAAGCTGCAGTTCTGTTGTAGTGACAGCTTGTCAAACGATACAGTAATCACATTATTTTTGTGCCATTTTCCAAATGAAAGGCACAGACTTCGATCATCTTGTATATGTTTTCTTTGAGTACCTTTACCTCTCCCACTCGTTGTTCCAGCCTTGGGATTCTAAGGAAGGGGTTCAATTTTTAAAATAATGTCTATTGATCTACCAGGTTCAAAATAATGCAAATACGTTTGATAGTGGGTTGGTAGTTGAAATGCACTGAAGATATGTATGAATATTGCCTCTTCTGAGGCACGTTGCAGGTTAGTACAGGATTGACATATTAGGAATAAACTTAACCATCCACTGTGACATATATGCTGCAGTTTAATAATGGAACCTGCAGAGGAGGCTGTGGTTCATTTATCCACTCAGACACCCTGTTTTTACTGAATCGATCACCTACAACCTGTGTACATAAGAGGTCACAATTTCTTTCCATTATTTTTCTTTACCAAATGCAAAATCCAAGGATTATTAGTTTACATTTTAGTTGTGTACATTTCGTGTACATTTTAGGCACCCTTCTAATGGGGAAAATCTCAATATAAATGCATATCTGTGCAATCTCTACACTTAGGAAGAGGCAGGAAAAATCATTTTTCTTCATTTCCAAGGTTAGTTTGTATGGTCCAGATGCAAAGTGCATCCCACCTTTCATGCCATTTTAACTGTATGATTTAATTTTAAGCCAGTATGTGGAAGGACAAGGTCATACCGGGGATATTGCTTTTCAGCTTGTGGAAATACTGGAGATTATCATCACTCAGTTCCAGGAACACCTGAATTAGACCTTGTGACAATCATACACAAGTGAGAAACTTTTTTATTTTTTCTCTAACTACATTTGTTTACAGAAAAGCAAACGCTCAAATAAAAAATATAAACAAAGTGAAAAATATATTAGGCTCTTTGTTAGTAAAAATACTGCAACATTAGTTTATTTTTAGAATTGTTTCACATGAATGATACTTACAAGTAAATAAACTGTTGTAGATTAATATAGTGTCGCCACTCCTATACTGAATTATATTGATAACAGAGTTACACTGTGTACTTAGAATGGTTCATTAAACTTAAACATAATAGATGAGTATTTTACCCCTGACCTGCTTCACATCCCCAGCCTTACCCATTGGGTTCAGCTTTTTTCCCACCCTCTGGAACTCCATCCCACGGTCCCTCCGCCTCGCCCCGTCCCCTAATTCCTTCAAGACCCTCCTCTTTGACTGTGCCTTCGGTCACCCTGCTACCCCTATCCTCCCCGCCCTCCACCCCTCCTGATCCCAACCACAGCCTTGGCTGCGGATCCCTGACTGTCCAGTGCCTTGGGGCGTCCTCCTGACGTGAGAGGCTCTACAAATGTAATTTGTTGTTGCAGAGAGAAATAGGTGAATTGTGTCTTTTGGTACAGTTTGACGAATAGTTTTTCTTTCCATTCATAATATTTTATTTTTTTACCATTCGCCTAAGTAGGTGGTAGCTGGCAACCTGACAATCAATCCTGCCAATGCTGTTCTGTAACTGTTAAGAGATGTCAGTGATCCAAATTTGACGAAGTTAACCTCCAAACAGCTTTTAAGCTGAAGTAGGGAATTTATAACGTGAGCATTTATAACTGTAAATCTATGGCCCACCAGGTCTCCTTCAAATGAGTGTTATTTAAATCAAGTTCACTATGTTCATTCCCACAAAATACACAGTCAATCCACTTTACAATATATTCTGTAAAGTGCTTTGTCGGAGGATGATTTAGTAAAGGAATGGGGTGGGGGTGATTCAGTGAGACCCAGCAATGAGTGGCACAAGTAGGAAGGTTTAAGTAAATGGGGATATTCAGTGAGAAGCACAGGTATGGAGGTTTAGGGGTGGGGGGATGATTCAGTGAGTGTCAGTAGTGAGAGGTGGAGGGGGTGGGGAATGATTCAGTGAGCGGCAGTAGTGAGAGGCAGGGGGTGGGGGTGACTGAGTGAGCGGCATAGTGAGCGGCAGTGGGTTGGGGTGATTGAGTGAGCGGCAGTAGTGAGTGGCAGTAGTGAGTGGCGGGGGGGGTGATTGAGTGAGTGGCAGTAGTGAGCGGCAGTAGTGAGTGGCAGTAGTGAGTGGCAGGGCGGGGGGGCAGTAGTGAGTGGCAGGGCGGGGGGGCAGTAGTGAGTGGCAGGGCGGGGGGCAGTAGTGAGTGGCAGGGCGGGGGGCAGTAGTGAGTGGCAGGGCGGGGGGGCAGTAGTGAGTGGCAGGGCGGGGGGCAGTAGTGAGTGGCAGGGCGGGGGGCAGTAATGAGTGGCAGGGTGGGGGGGCAGTAGTGAGTGGCAGGGCGGGGGGGGCAGTAGTGAGTGGCAGGGCGGGGGGGGTCAGTAGTGAGTGGCAGTGAGTGGCAAGGCGGGGGGGCAGTAGTGAGTGGCAGTGAGTGGCAGGGCGGGGGGGCAGTAGTGAATGGCAGTGAGTGGCGGGGGGGGCAGTAGTGAGTGGCAGTGAGTGGCAGGGCGGGGGGGCAGTAGTGAGTGGCAGTGAGTGGCAGGGCGGGGGGGGCAGTAGTGAGTGGCAGTGAGTGGCAGGGCGGGGGGGCAGTAGTGAGTGGCAGGGCGGGGGGGGCAGTAGTGAGTGGCAGTGAGTGGCAAGGCGGGGGGGGCAGTAGTGAGTGGCAGTGAGTGGCAGGGCGGGGGGGGGCAGTAGTGAGTGGCAGTGAGTGGCAGGGCGGGGGGTCAGTAGTGAGTGGCAGTGAGTGGCAGGGCGGGGGGGCAGTAGTGAGTGGCAGGGCGGGGGGCAGTAGTGAGTGGCAGTGAGTGGCAGGGCGGGCGGGCAGTAGTGAGTGGCAGTGAGTGGCAGGGCGGGCAGTAGTGAGTGGCAGTGAGTGGCAGGGCGGGGGGGCAGTAGTGAGTGGCAGTGAGTGGCAGGGCGGGGGGGGGGGGCAGTAGTGAGTGGCAGGGCAGGGGGGGCAGTAGTGAGTGGCAGTGAGTGGCAGTGAGTGGCAGGGCGGGGGGGGGCAGTAGTGAGTGGCAGTGAGTGGCAGGGCGGGGGGGGCAGTAGTGAGTGGCAGTGAGTGGCAGGGCGGGGGGGGCAGTAGCGAGTGGCAGTGAGTGGCAGGGCGGGGGGGCAGTAGTGAGTGGCAGGGTGGGGGGGGCAGTAGTGAGTGGCAGTGAGTGGCAGGGCGGGGGGCAGTAGTGAGTGGCAGGGCGGGGGGGCAGTAGTGAGTGGCAGTGAGTGGCAGGGCGAGGGGGGGGCAGTAGTGAGTGGCAGTGAGTGGCAGGGCGGGGGGGGCAGTAGTGAGTGGCAGTGAGTGGCAGGGCGGGGGGGCAGTAGTGAGTGGCAGTGAGTGGCAGGGCGGGGGGGGGCAGTAGTGAGTGGCAGGGTGGGGGGGGCAGTAGTGAGTGGCAGTGAGTGGCAGGGCGGGGGGGCAGTAGTGAGTGGCAGTGAGTGGCAGGGCGGGGGGGCAGTAGTGAGTGGCAGTGAGTGGCAGGGCGGGGGGGGGCAGTAGTGAGTGGCAGTGAGTGGCGGGGGGCAGTAGTGAGTGGCAGTGAGTGGCAGGGCGGGGGGGCAGTAGTGAGTGGCAGGGTGGGGGGGCAGTAGTGAGTGGCAGTGAGTGGCAGGGCGGGGGGGCAGCAGTGAGTGGCAGTGAGTGGCAGGGCGGGGGGGGGCAGTGAGTGGCAGGGCGGGGGGGGGCAGTAGTGAGTGGCAGTGAGTGGCAGGGCGGGGGGGGGCAGTAGTGAGTGGCAGTGAGTGGCAGGGCGGGGGGGGCAGTAGTGAGTGGCAGTGAGTGGCAGGGCGAGGGGGGGGCAGTAGTGAGTGGCAGTGAGTGGCAGGGCGGGGGGGGGCAGTAGTGAGTGGCAGGGCGGGGGGGCAGTAGTGAGTGGCAGTGAGTGGCAGGGCGGGGGGGGCAGCAGTGAGTGGCAGTGAGTGGCAGGGCGGGGGGGGCGGGGGGGGTGTAGGGCGCTGTCCCTGTGCTGTGGCGGGAGCGCGGGTGACGTCAGGCGCGCGCTCGGGGCTCGGGCCGTGTGTGAGGGGCGGAGCCGCCACCGCTCGTGACTGAGGCGGTGCAGAGGGTCCACAGCCGAGACTCCGCCGCGGCCGCTCCACGGTAAGTGGGTGTGGGGGGGAGTGGGGGGTGTGGGGGCGCTGCTCCTCACTCGGGGCTGAGGGGGGGAGAGGCCGCACTCACTGACTGACTGACTGACTGACTGACTGCCCGGGGGGGGGGGGGGGGAGAGAGGGGAAGCAGAGACGGCGCTGCTGCTGCGGTCCCGGTTTGTTGCTTTTTTTAAAAAAAGGGCAAAACGTGTCCGAAAAAGGTCATTTTTAAAGACCCCCAAATCCCCCCCCACACCCCCCCCCCACACCCCCCCCCACACTCCCCCCCCCCACTCCCCCCCCCACACTCCCCCCCCCACTCCCCCCCCACACCCCCCCCCACACTCCCCCCCCCACTCCCCCCCCCACACTCCCCCCCCCCACTCCCCCCCCACACTCCCCCCCCCACTCCCCTCCCTCACACTCCCACACCCCCCCCCACACTCCCCCCCCCACACACACACACACACTCCCCCCCACACCCCCCCCACACTCCCCCCCCACCCCCTCCCTCACACTCCCCCCCCCACACACACACACACTCCCCCCCCACTCCCCCCCCACACTCCCCCCCCCCCACACACACACACACTCCCCCCGTCAGCCACAGGCAAAGACTTTTTGGGGGAAACCATTCACTTCGACCCGGTGACGCAGCTGTGCTGGTATGCAGTTTGGGGTTTGGCTGTGCGCTCAGTGCTGGGCTCCAGCTCCAGTGACGTGGTGTGGGGGTGTGTGTGTGGGGGGGGGGTGTCTGTGTCTGTGTGGGGGGGTCTGTGTGTGTGGGGTCTGTGTGTGGGGTGTCTGTGTGTGTGGGGTGGGGGGGTCTGTGTGTGTGGGGGGTCTGTGTGTGTGTGGGGGGGGTCTGTGTGTGTGTGTGAGGGGGGGTCTGTGTGTGTGTGGGGGGGGTCTGTGTGTGTGTGGGGGGGGTCTGTGTGTGTGTGTGTGGGGGGGTCTGTGTGTGGGGGGGGTCTGTGTGTGGGGGGGGGGGGTCTGTGTGTGGGGGGGGGTCTGTGTGTGGGGGGGTCTGTGTGTGGGGGGGGTCTGTGTGTGGGGGGGGTCTGTGTGTGTGTGGGGGGGGGTCTGTGTGTGTGTGGGGGGGGGTCTGTGTGTGTGTGGGGGGGGGTCTGTGTGTGTGTCCGGTTGGAAACTGCTCAGCAACGCCGTGTTTTCATTGCTCTTTGCCAATCGAGCGCACAATCCGCTGCCCGGTTCAGCTGTCCCTTCACTGAGCTCGTGATCCTCCCCCCCTCTTTCCCTCCTCTCGCCCCTCTGCAAGCGGTTGCATTTATATAAAAAAATGTTAATCCGGAGGGTTTAATGTGTTTTTTTAAAAAAAAACTTTTGTGCGCAGCGCTGTTGACTTGTCGGTAAGGGTCGCTGAACCGTCCCGTTATTTTGATTGAAAAGTGGCACGAAAGGTGGGACCCGTAGTGGTTTCCCCACTCTGCCACAGGCTGAGGAGTGACCGATCCTGTCAGAGAGGAGCGAGGTCAATGTGGTCATTGTTTCAGGTCTCAAAAGGTTTATACTCTGGTGTGAAGTCATTTCCATTAAATTACCATGGGCGTATTTTATTATCGTTGGATTGCATTCAAAGGCCAACCGATCATGCAATGTGGGTAAATAAATGTTCCACCTTAATTGTAACGTAGATCCTGACAGACGACCAAATCAGGTAATGATTTAAGCAAACTGAGGACTCTGAAGGTCCATTTTTTTGGAAGGGCTGCTGCAGCTCACAGGTAGTGACTGAGTGTAATTCGTGAGTTAACCAAAGTTTGTATCTGAACTTCTTGGAGCAGCTGACACTACCGTATTTCTTTGCACTTAAATGTTCTGGCGATGTGATATAGTGGCTTCCTGTTTCTGCATTGAACTGGGTCATTCAATACACATGTAGTAGATCAGGACTAATGTAATCGGTTAGATTAGAGAAAAAAACACCTAAATTTGGTATTCTCGGAGAGGGAGAAAGCTAATGTTTTGTTATGAATGACCTTCAGCATCAAAGGTAAAACCTCAGCTCTTGGCAGCTAAAGAATGGTTCAGAAATGGAATAAAAACTTCCAACAGTTAAATGTTAACCTTTTTAGAATATATAAAAATGCCTGACAGAATTAAAGTCTGATTTTGGAATGATCTTATGGTTTTCTTTTGGTGGGGCGGGGGGTGTTAAGTTTTGTGTTGCAATCTAAAATCCTGGATTAGGTTCCAGGCCTTAAGTTATTTATTAATCTCTGACATGTTAAGTAGGCATTCCATTCATAATGGTACATTTGTCGCTGATGGCACGAACACATTTATTGAGAAAAAGTCTGAAATCAAGGTCCTTCGCTACCGCAGTGATCTGTGGGTGGGGAGAGATTCTCTTTGCAGTGCTTACATTGTGGAGTCCTGTGGCTCAGTGGTTAGAGCACTCGCTTTGCAAGTGAGAGACCTGAGTTCAATTCCAGGCAGAGGGCGAAACCTTGGGCAAGTTTCCTTACTCCACACACCTAATAATAATACCTCCAAAACAAAACAATAATAAATTGGTCATTTTCAATCTACGACTGTTTGTGGGACATTGCTGTGTGCAATTGGCTGCCGCGTTCGCCCACAAATATACAGTCAATTCACTTTACAGTGTGTTCTGTGAAGCGCTTTGGGACATCCTCCCGACGTAAAAAGCGCTATATCAAATGCAAGGATTATTATTATTTTACACCTTGTTTAAATTGAACAAATGATAGTTTTAGAAATAATGTACAGCACAGAAACAGGCCACTTGGCCCAACTAGTACATGTTTATGTTCATATTCCACACAAGTCTTCACCCATTCCTTACTCCTTACCATACCCTCTATTGCCTTCAGCTCTCGTGCCTTCAGCTCCCCTCTCGACTCTCTACCCTCTCCTCGCCCCCTCCCTTCCCTCCCCTCACCCTGACGATTTCCCCTCTGCTCGGGTCCCGACCCAACTGTCCAGCGCTTTGGGACGTCCTCCTAACGTGAAAGGCGCTCTATAAATGCAATTTTGTTGTTGTATTCCCCTCTCTCTTGTGAGTGTCCAGCAAAGTTTTATTTAGAAAAATAAGAGGCAAGACTGAGTTTCAAAATATTCTGAAAGTCTGACGCAATTTTAAGACAATCTTACACCAACCAACATGAAATTTATTCTCTGATCTACAGTATTAGGTTATTGGAACAGCAACAAATGAGACAGGTGACAGCTTGATCGTGCACAATGTTGGTGGATCCACTGAGCAGTTCAGAATGTGGCTGATATTCTGCAAACCAGCTCCTAAACTCACCCCAGTTGGCTGTATTTTCCAAAGAGGAGGAGGGAGGGGGAGAAGAAATTTTAAAAATACGCTCTTCCCTGAAATGGAAGATGTGCCGTGAACTATAATAAATATATAATAATTCTTGATATAGTGCTTTTCATGTCTTGTAGACATCTGAAAATGCTTCACAGGATATACTGTAAAGTGAATTGACTGTATATTTGTGGGTGAAATGCAGCAGCCAATTGTGCACAGCAATGTTACAGTCAACAAACGTGTTGTACATGACTTCCTCATCCCAAATTAATAACATTGAATTAGTAACATCAGATCAAACTACAATGACAAAACAGGAAAGAAATAATTGCAATCTAAGTCAGTTAACCACAATATTTACTTGTTACTTTTATCAATAAGGTACATAATCAGAATGATTAGAGAAAAAAAACTGAAAGAGATGGCTGGCCTGGCTGAAGTCAGCTAACTCAGTTCGAAGTGGGAACTGATCCAGCAACCTGCTTCTCTGTATAAATAATTCTCCGCCATTTGTGGCACCTCCAGCATGATCCAACCACTAAACATATCTTCCCCTCCCCTCTCAGCATTCCGAAGGGACCGTTCCCTCCATGATTCCCTGGTTCATTCCTTCATCACCACCAACAGTTCCTGTGCTCCCCCCGGCACCTTTCCATGCCAGCGCAGGAGATGCAATACCTGCCCTTTCACCTCCTCCTATACCACTGTCCAGGGTCCCAAACTGTTTATTTGGGATTAATGGGAATATATTAGCATGGATTGAAGAGTGGCTAAGGGGTAGAAAACAGAGAGTAGGGATAAACGGGTCATTCTCGAATTGGCAGGATGTGACTAGTGGAGTGCCACAAGGATCAGTGCTTGGGCCTCAGCTATTTACAATTTACATCAATGATCTAGACAAGGACATTGAATGTAACGTATCTAAATTCGCGGATGACACTAAACTAGGTGGGAGAGTAAGCTCTGAGGATGATGCAAAAAGATTGCAACGGGATATAGATAGGCTCGGGGAGTGGGCGAGTAGGTGGCAGATGGAATTTAATGTGGGGAAGTGTGAAGTTATTCACCTAGGTAGAAAAAATAGAAAAACAGATTATTTTCTAGAGGGAGAGATTAGATAGTGTTAGTGTGCAGAGGGATTTGGGTGTCCTTGTACACCAGTCTCAAAAAGTTAGTTTGCAGGTGCAGCAAGCAACTAAGAAGGCGAACGGCATGTTAGCGTTCATTGCAAAAGGTTTAGAGTACAAGAGTAGGGAAGTCTTGCTGCAACTGTATAGGGCCTTGGTGAGACCGCACCTAGAGTATTGTGTGCAGTTTTGGTCTCCTTATTTAAAAAAGGACATACTTGCCCTAGAGGGGGTGCAGCATAGATTCACTCGGTTAGTTCCTGGGATGAGGGGACTGACCTATGAGGATAGGCTGAATAAACTAGGGCTGTATTCTCTAGAGTACAGAAGAATTAGGGAGGATCTTATTGAAACATATAAGATTCTTAAAGGGCTGCATAAAGTACACACTGAGGGACTGTTTCCTCTGGTAGGAGAATCTATAACCAGGGATCACAGTCTTAAAATTAAGGGTCAGCCTTTTAGAACAGAGTTGAGGAAACATTTCTTCACTCAGAGGGTAGTGACCTTATGGAATTCACTACCCCAGAAGACTGTAGATGCTCAGTCCTTGAACATCTTCAAGGCTGAGACTGATAG